CTTCATGCTTTGTTGCTGTATCTTCTGTTTAGCCTGCCAGTGACAGAGCTGCAGGGGGAGAGTCTGAGGAGGGAACACAGACCCAGGCCCTATTCTCTTGCTGTTATAAATGGTTCCAAATGCAAAATCTGACTGGTAGGCTAGTAACATGGCAAGTCATTTCAGAGAAGAGGCACCTGGACTTTACTTTGTGCTTCAGTAAATATTTTAGTATTTTATATTAAGTATTCATTGAATCAGGAACTAGCACCTTCTCATTATTTTCTTGTCTGAATTGTTCCAGTGCAGCTAGGGGAGGAGGAGCCATTAGGGAATGAAAGGAAAAAGCAAATTTAGAAATCTTTTTTTTTTTTTTCCTTTTAATATCAGCATGTTAGGAATTAGCATATCTCCCCTCATCAAAAGCTTAACTGACTCAAAGTCACATAACAACTCAACTAGATGCCAATTACATGATTTTAAATCTGTTTCAGAAATTGTAATAGGTCTTAATTAAATCATGGCAACATAAACTTTCTGGCTTCATAAGAAACAAAATAGCTATCTGGCATCTGCTTTCATCACAGTCCATGTTTGCTTTTATAATTTAATATTATAATATTTCTCTTTTTTCATATGACCATGAACTTGGTCTGAATTCCATTGAAGTTGCAATCCAAACTTGCTTCAGTTGAGTGGTGATGTCTATACTCTGGTTGTACCTATCTGGAGGGAGTAGGGCAAGGAGGAGGAGTTATCTGATTAGAGTGGAACCACTGCCAGTGCCTCTCAGGGTGACTCAGGCAGTCTGGAAAAAAGTGGGTTTGCTCTACTTTCTACTTGGGTCCAGAGAAGGAATCCTTTTTACTTGCTTTCCATCTCTTTCTAGTGACAGAATACATGTTGTGACACTGAAGAATGCTTATGTTCCCAGACTGGCAGACTAACCTCCTTTTGGATATGAAATGCTCATAGGGATTTTAACCCAACCCTTTCTCCCTATGTAAGCTTGACAAGACACTTCCCACTTGCACTGGAAGAAGGGAGGAAGGAAACTCCCTTGTCACTGATACATCCACACAAATCACAGATGTTTTCTTTTTCTCCTAGTATGCAAACTTTTACAGATTCCTGATGTCTCTTCAAAAAGTGCAATTACCAATTAATGCAGTGTCATAAAAGCATGCGAAGCAAAACACTAAGTGGACAAAAAGTATATTTATTTTGAAAAGTATAACATTTTGCACAAGTAGGTTGTTGTATTAATAGCACATCTGTTTCATGTCTAATGGGGCATTAGGATACTTATATCCAATGTGTTTTTCATTAGATCAGGTTTTTGAAGATAGAAGTAGTATAACTAGATTTTGTCAATACTTATGATTGCTGCTTACAGCTTCTTAAACCTTTTCAAAAGTTTACTTTCCACTTTTCTCTCCATCTCCAGCAGTAAGCGAACTATTCTTTAAATGTTATGGTTCCTCAGACAGGTCATGTTTCCCTATTGAAGAGCAACTGCAATATCCAAAAAGGTGAAAAAGAAATAACATTGAATTGTCATGACATTGGAGGCTACAGTGTGTGAAACTCATACATAGGCCGGCTCAGATTATAATACTCCAGAATTATTTGCTCTGTGCAAGTGTCCTAGCTCCTCTAGGCTCAGTGTCTGTACTTTAAAATGAAAAAGATACTTTTCTAATTATTTTTACTATGTGCTTGCCTAATGAGGGACTATTTTTTATTTTAGTATAAAGAATGAGCAGTAGTCATGATAAAGTTCTGTATTCAAAACGCACAACTACTTTAGTGATAGTTCTGCATGACTAGCAACTGAAGATATCTGTTAGCAATTCTTAGGTACGCTTTTGAAATTTTATCTGAAAAATAACCATTCGATTAGATACTCACCTGATGGAATAAAGTACATTTCCATTTTTGAAAATTCGCAACAACTTATTATCTGTTGTAACCTCATGAAAGTTGGCACCTTTTTCATTAGCAAAGAATAAATCAGGTTTCCAAATTGAATCCAGCATGGATGGATCTAAGTCTAAAGAGTCATCTGGATATTCACTGTATGCGAGGCGTGGATCATTCCAATTCTGACGGAGAAAGATGTTCACTCGATAATCCTGAATGAAAGAGAAAACAAGCAATGCTTTATCAAGCATAGGGATTTAGCTTTTATTTCATTTCTTAGCCATGTAATCCCTTGTCCATCTGTGGATGACAAAAGAATTACTTAGCTGAATGCCAGCATGATACCTATTTGTATTAGTAGGGACACAATGGTTAAGAATAAAGATGCATTTCAGGGCAATTGAAAAAATCCCAAGCTAAGAAAATCCAACCTCCATGTACAGTTCATATAACTCCATATAACTCTACCCCTACAGTAGCTTTGTCTTGAAATCAAAATGTGAGAAGCATAAAAAGAGTTTTACGGAGTTACCTTTTTCTGCCCAGCCTTTGGTGGGGGCATTCCCACTTCCCTCTCTTAGGCAGTGAGAATCTGTCCCACTGTAAGGGAAGTTAAATTCATTTCTTTTTTCTTTCTCTAATTCTTACATATCTTAGACCCACCACTTTTAGACTTTCTGTGCGTCAGTTCCCAATTGAAAATTGTGTGAGCAGTAACTTGCCATACAGCTGTCTGAGGAGGACATGTTCCACCTCTGTTCCAATATGGTGGAGATCATATAAGTCCTTATGATAAATTAGCTTAGGTACAAGTGGAGTCACCTTAACTCCTACAGCCAGTCCTGTCTTAATCAAGGGTGCTTTTATATAAAAGACGAGCGGAGTGCTTCGAACTTCTGGAAGTCATTTTGGAGTTGTATATACTCTCTGTCAGAGACAATGCTGTATTTATGGCTGCACACTTTCTTAAAACTTTACCACTCTGAAAGATGAAAATATTTGTTTTTAAATAAAAGTGAATATTAGCATCTCATTACATTATATCAAGAACTGAGAGAATTGAGACACTGAGCATACGGGCATAGGGACTACACTTTTATTGGTCATATTATGATTTTTCTCATTATTTGCACTACTGCATTAATGAAAGAAGATAAAAATAAAATAGAAACAAAGACATGTTAGGTGCAGAGGGGAGATGGGAGCTGGTTGTCAAAGTTTATGCGACACTTCTGAATGTAATGGAAGTAAATAACAAAACTTGTTTGTTGTTTAAAAAGACAATGAAAATTAATTTTAAAATGAAAACTTTTTGAGTCAGAATGGGAAATGAAGTGTTCAAGGCTGAGCAATACAATTTGGCCAATAACTATGGTTAGTAGTTACTAGTGGTTAGAATAACTAGTTAAAACCCCACTGGTGTAGAAATTGTGGGTACTGTTAAAATTTCAATGCCATATCAATATTTGGTCTTATGCAACTTGGAACATGCAGCCATACAGTTGCAAGAATCATCCCAACAGACATAATAAAGGACAACAGGAACATCAATATGCAACATTTCCTCATGACAAATAGTTTTTTTATATCTTCAGCATTCTGCAGTTTTGGTCAATTTAATTACTCACCTTGAATAGGAGTAGACAAACATGCTAAAAACATGCTTACCAAGCATTTGTTGCTTGATAATCAGAAAATACTGCATATCATATAGAGAAAGTCCCAGTAGAGAATTTTATATTCATATAACCTTATAAATTTTCAAGACAAAACCAGTAAGTGGAAAACTACACCTGGAGAATGAAATTAATTCAGATTATCGTTTTCAGCAGACATGAAAAAGACTCTCTGGCCAAATGGAAGCTTATAACATTAAATGCCAGGTGGAAAAAGCATAGGATTTGTTAATTTTTTAAAATGTTAATTAACTTGTTAGCCCTCCCTTTCAGAAAAGGACTGAAAGAAATTGCTCTTCTTTTTCATCATGGCTAGTGACAGCCTCAAGAGCCATAAAAATTCTTAAGAGAAGCTGTTGGTATTTTTCACAATTAGCACCATGGCGTGATAAAATCAGAGCCAAGGATTTGTACTTTACAGATGTAGAAACAAGCTTCTTTTTCTTTTCTAAAGTAAGCCAAAACCCTTAGACAAGCTTGTGCCTCAGTGTCCATAGAACTGAGCTTTTGGTGTCTTCCATGCAGCAAGAGGACATAATACCCCCTGAAATACCCTTCTTTATTTGCATGATATCCTAAATACTGTGTAGTACCAGTTTGTCTTCCAAATTCCTGTATAAAATCAAAAGGCCAGGAAGAAGCAGGATGTGGGAGCAGTGACGACTCTACTGCCTGTCCCGACATGTGCAATCCTTGCACTGAAGGAAACATTTACTCTAAACCTGGGGCACTGGGTGTGAGCACTGCAGCTCTCGGGACTTCATCTGCACTTCAGCCAAACCCCAAGCTTTACCTTTTAATTTGTATAACCTGAAGTATGTCTATTTACTTTACTTTTCTCTGCAGATTATGATGAGTTTATGAATGGGATTACTTGTAGAGTAAGGGACGTCTCATATATAAAAGTCAGAACAGGTGAAAAATGCATAGTTGAGAGTTGAAATGAAAAAGAAAATGAAGGAAGACAAATGGAGGAATCTGTTCTAGGTTATATTAAGCTATTCTGTATGTCAGTTTGGCTAAAGTTTATTGGTTTAAATTTTTTCCAGCTTTTAAGTTGAAAAAAATCCTAGTTAATTTTTTTCATTGAAGCAATTGAGGCTATTTTTCATTGTTCTCTCCCCTGGAAAGTCTGACTTAAATTGGCTCTCATTATTCACTAAAAAAAATCCTAATCTATCAAAAGGAAAGAGATACATTTGACTGCTATAGTATGAAGGACAAGTATTCATTGTCTCAGTTTATAATTACACATTATGAGAATAAGGCTTAACTGCTTTAAACAAGTAGGGTTGTTTGATGCAAACGCAGAGACCAGAATTAAACTGCCGGAATTGATTTGTTTTCCTACAAAAGGAATACTATTCTCACGTGCTACTTGCCCAGAGGGGTGACTCCTAACTCAAATAACTCTGTGCTGGGCAGGTTCCTTGAGGGGAGAGAGAAATCATCATTTAAATTGTGGTGACTTCCACAACCACTTCCATAACCTCAAGGCTGCCCTCATCTGAACAGCTGCTGTACCCTGGTTCTACAGAACGAGATTGCTTTATGGGTGTGCACTTGCTCCACTGTCTTTCGAAACCATTAGCTACAGGGTGAACTTTCTTAGAGGGTCAGAATACTGTTCGTCTGCTTCATAGGGCTCAATAAAATAAAAATTGGGAGATCAGCTAATTGCTCTTTGCTGTCCATACTGAGGCTGACGCCATTATGGAGTCCGGTACTAACATTTTGATTAGCAATTTCCAGCACACAGTGAAATCTAAAATTCTTACAGAATATGTTGATTTCTTCTTCGTTATACTGATACAGATAGAGCTGTATTCCCATAGCATACAGAATATAGCTAGACTGCTTTATGGAAACTTTTGCAAAGATCTTCAAGATATTAATTGCCTAACTCTCACTGGTTTCTTTAATACATTTCAAATATGCATTGTATGTGGAATTCTTCTAGATATGAGAGAGAGATATATAAAAGCAAATTTCCAAAATATGCCCTTCATTTGAACATTGCATATCACCTGCTCTCATAAATTTTGAATGCTGTCATTCATGCATAAATGAATAATCTTCCAGAACTCTACCTGTTGCGGTTCCAAATACTATTATAATTTTGCCTAATATATCCACGTAAGTGAAATCTAGACTTGTCTTTTGCATAATGTAGTCAAATCATTCTTGCTTTGTTTGTTCTAGTTCACTGTAAAGTTTTAACATGGAAATCTTATGAACTTTCCAAGAACGCACTATGAGAAATACTGTTCTTGTAAAGAATTTTTTTTTAAATCTGATAACTATGCCACTATGTTGTAATGAAAGCTGCATATAATCCACTGTTCCTAAGAAGACATCACAGACATACTGGAAAAAGCTGTTTACATGAAGGCTGAAGTGAGGAATGAAAATTAGCAGGGTGACCTGGAGTAAAAGTCAGGCAGAACTAGAGAGAACTAATAGAGTCGGGGGTGGGAGGGGGGGTGTAAAATGGTTTCAGTAGATGTTACAAGGGACAGAGATGTGTATCAGGAAGAATAAGTCCCAAGGGAATCCTGGCCTAAAAAAGTAACCAATATCTTGAAGAGCCACTTCAAAGTAAGTATAATTTTGTAACTATAGTGGGCTATTTGTTTTATTGGATTTATCACCTCATAGGGAATTTGACTATTTGGTCATACAGTTGTGTGTGTGTTATCATTTCTCTCCCTCTATCCACGTCCCTCCTCACCCCAAAAAAAGTTATAAGGTGCTGAGTTATCAGGTGTTCAGTTGCTAGTGAAATAGTATTAGTAGTTTCATATTTCAGCACAATGTCGTTGGTACACCCACCTAAAAAGGAATGTTTTAGAGCATATTTCGCTTCATTTTCCATTTTGTTTCTTGGGTAAATGAAAAAGATATTTGGCCTTTGTTCTACAAAATATTATGGTTGCTTTATGCATTTTATCTTCAATATAATTTGATTTCTTAATATTGATGTAATTTGTTAAATAGGATGCTTGCAACAGGATATTTAAAAAGCTCTTAGCAATTTTACCTTTAATATTTTATTTTTGATGTAATACTGTGGAAAAAAAAAGTAAGACTTAAGACTAACTCTACAACTGGAAGATAAAATGCAAAAGTCAGCAGAAAATGGTTATTTTCTGAACCAGATGAGTGCTGCACAATCCATATAGCACTAAACTTTTTACTGCTATGGAAAAGCAGTAAAAAAATAATACTAACTTTTTTATTTTGCAATTTCTAAGATAAGTTTTCTCTTTGTGACATATGCTTTCCTGGTTTACCACAACTAGAATTATTATTTTTATTTTTTTTTTTTTTATTTTAGAAAACCACTGGAGAAAATTTCACAAAAAGCGAAGGATGGTTGACAGTTGGACTTGATGATCTTAGAGGTCTTTTCCAACCTTAAAGATTCTATGATTCTATGATTTTGGGTTTTGTTATACTAATACAAAGGTAGTACCATGTGGGGACTTGATGGATATGGATTGTTGTAATTGTCTTCTCTCAGGTTTGCTTTCTCA